TCCAAGGACCACGGTCTTTCTACCCCGAACGCCTATACACGAGTTGGCATTTGACCCGCACGAATGGCAGTGGCAAATGGCTCGGGGGGCAGGAGTAGCAACCGACAAAAAAGTCCATCTTAACACACTATCTCTCAGGTCCATGTATAGGATGCTTAGACACGAGAGAGCAGTAAAGGACCTAATCAATGATAGATGGGCCCAGCACTTGAATGTGGACCGGTCCCTCCTCACGCCTATTAATACAGGTTAGGTGGTGCCGCCTTGAGTCAATAATCCCCTAGGGATCCTGCAAATCCATCGGGCCTCCCAACAAACGAGTACCGGGGCTCTCCCTGAGGCCTAGTTGCCACCCTCTACTACACCCTGGACCCTTTTTTTTTCTTTAAAAAAAAAAAATGAAAAAAAAAAAAATTGCAGCCAGATACATTTAGGAAAGTGCTAGTGTGAGCATGCCCTGGGGCCTCTACCCACTAGCCAAGCGTAAAACAGTGTGTGGCATGCGAAATGTGTTAAGAAAATAGGAAAAAATGGTTTTCCTGCATTTTATTTTCCCCCATTGATAAGGAGCCCGCAATAATGACTGAAATCCGTCATTATTACACCATATCCGTTTCATTCCAATAAGCATGGATTCACCCCGACATTGGGGGTATGCGCCCGCCCTTGTGATAGGGACATGAATACAAGGCCGAATGAGTGGAATTCGCCGCTGTGTCCCCGAGTCCTTTCCCTTTTCAGTAAGGGGCCGAGAATGCCAACTTTCCCGATTGGGAAAGTACGGACGCGGGTCGGCCAAGAGGTACTCATGTCTGTCTCTGCACCTAGACACTTTTGTAGGCAACGTACGACAATGTTTTCGGAATGTAGATGCATATTAGGGTTTGTGCATCCGATTGAAAGGAATGCGCTGACACCACATTTCTCGCCCTTATTTGTGGGCACTGCACAAAAAAGACGCCGTTATTACTTCCATTCGTCATTTTTTTCAGACTTTCCAAGTCCGTTGGCGCGAAGCTTGGATATCACGCCATGGGTCAAAAGTTGTTGTTATTGAAGCTTCACGCCAACCGAAAGTGGCCAACAAAAACACCAAAAAAAAAAAAAAAAACTTCCAATTGGCCGGGAAAAAACGCTCGCCCGACTCGTAAACATCCTCACAGTTGATGTGGAGGGCAATCGGCGGCTGTTTTGCGTCACCCCGGGCCACACAGTGATCGAAAGCCCAGCCTCCAAGCGTAACGCTTGGCTAGTGGATCGAGGCCCCTGAGGTCAGGGCTTGATTGTTCCTTCCTTCTTTTTTCTTGGGTGTGTGTGTGTGTGTTTGTGCATGTGACGCCGTGAGTTGTCTTATTCGCTATACACTTAAAAAGAAAATGACTGCACCAGACCGTTATGTGGACTTTCACTGACTCACGTGTGTGTGAATGTGTGCGTGCGTGTGTGCGTGTGTGTGTGTGTGTGTGTGTGTGTGTGTGAGAGAGAGAGAGAGAGAGAGAGAGAGAGAGAGAGAGAGAGAGATGCTTCTCTGTCTCCTTCCACTTTATGGGACCTTTATTTGATGAGAAGTCTGAACGCCAGCTTCCTGCAGCGGACACACACAGAAAAAACAAAACAAGAAAGAAAACAAGACACGAGCTGGATGGGCCAGGATGGCATTTCCAAGCAGCTGTGCTCCTCAGCCAGAGAGAGAGCTGGCGTTCAGACTTCTTTCTTGTTATTCTTCTTTGTTATTCTTCTTTTCTTCTTCTTCTTCTTCTTCTTCTTCTTCTTCTTCTTCCTCCTCCTCCTCTGTTAGCACTTTCTTTCACGTATCCAACCATACACGCGGTCAGATACACTCGACATACAGCTAGCGTATTCTCATATGTTTATTAGGGATTATTCTTATATTGCATCTGCCTGCAAATGCGGCTGGGAAGGAGACTAGAGTGTGGGGATGTGTGTGTGTGTGTGTGTGTGTGTGTGTGTGTGTGTGTGTGTGTGTGTGTGTGTGTGTGTGTGTGTGAGAGAGAGAGAGAGAGAGAGAGAGNGAGAGAGAGAGAGAGAGAGAGAGAGAGAGAGAGAGAGAGAGAGAGAGAGAGAGAGAGAGAGAGAGAGATTGGGGGGTAATTTTTGTGCATCGTGTTTTTCATGGGAAATGTACGGTCGCAGGCAGGGAGAGAGAGAGAGAGAGAGAGAGATGGCGGGGACGGTTTCGCGCCGAATTCGCATGTGCAGGGCCTGCGCGGCGGCCTCGGCCCACTACACAGCGTCGCGTTTAGCTGCGACAGCTTTGCGACGACGATGAGTCGTGGATTGTAAAAACATCCACCGGTCGTTAGTCCAGCGCGCATAGATGGCAGCTTTCCCGCCCAAACGGGAGGTGTTCATTGGCAAAAAGCATGTCGGCGCAGCACACGGCGAGGCGCGGGACGTTTAGTTTACTACCGTCAAAAAAGTGTCATAGCTAACTAAACGCCCTAATTCCTCATCAGTCGTCTGTTGGCAGGCAGAATAGGCCTTCGCATGGGCAACAGATGTGTGAAGCAGGCGGAGCAGGCCTAACGCAAATCGGCTACTCCCATGTGTGAAGCACTCACTTCCGGTAACACGTGAAGAAGGCAGGGGTATTTACGCAACTCAACAGATGTAGCAATTTGAAGACCCGTCATGGTGGTTGATGGCCCTCCTGCTGTGCCGATCGGATGGTGTCAAAAAGTGTCCCAGTCAGTGGTGTGTACGAAAAAAAAAGTGGACCCGCGCAGACATCTTTTTCCCGCCTGCCGTGGTGTCGCTCAGTATCATTTTCTGCTACTAAACCTTGCATGTGTGCCGAGGCCCGGGTTCATCACTAACGGGATGCAAGACAGGCTTTCCTTGGGTCCTGTTCTGGCCGTTGTCTGCCTTTCGGTGGGACCGGTTCCGGCCGGCCTGGGGCAGGCAATTTTGCTTTCTGTGCCTATTTTGGGATGCGGCCCTGAGGTACCTGCCACGTGATGTTTTTCATGCCTTTACAAACGACCCCCACGTCGAAGTTGCGGTGTACAGTTTTTTCTGCCTATTTCAAACAAAAACTCAAACTGTACATCACAAACTCAAAACTCAGCCGCAGTACCCCAAGAGCCGAGCTCAGTGGGTACACCCATGAACTGTTGAAAATACAGACCCGTGTTCGAATCCAGATGATGGAAGTTGTCCGTTGCTCTTTTCAACAAAAAAAAGAAAAAAAGAAAAGAAAACTCAGCTGCAGTTTCCTCAAAAAACAAACAAGAGATCCTGAGCACTCGGATCAGGGGTTTCAAGGGGTCGCAGGAGACAGGCAGAGGGATCTGTAGGCGGAGGGAGTGCTACAGGATACACCCACCGAGCTAGGTGGTCAGAGACAGGGGAAGAGTAGGACCTAGGAGGAAGGACGAAGGGCATAGCATTAGAGAGAGAACAGTGAGGTAGACGCTCCTGACTTAGGCTTGGACCCCACTGGCCGGCGGCGTGGAAAAGTTTTTCAGACCCCACAGGTGTTGGAAACCATCCTGGAAAGCCGGCCCGGAAAGGAATTTCAGACCCCACTGCAGTTGGAAAGAGGTCGTGGAAAAGCTGACGGGGCATTTCTACTCAGCTCGCGGTCTGGAAATTTTTCGCAACGAGTTTCCAAACAGTTTCCAAGGACGGCTCCAGACATGTAGGGGGGGGGGCATGGAAAACAGTTCCAGGATCGGGCTGGACGTCGTGGCGTTTTGTAGACACTTCATTGGCTGCGCAAGCAGACCATGGACCACAGCCCCCGCCAGGCTTGCCTTTTTGGGAAACACCCCGGTGCAATTTCCTATTCGGGATGCCCAAACTTTTCCAATGCCGAAACTATCGGCCTGCGGTGGGGTCCCAAT